GAGAAACATTCAGGTAACTGAAAACTGAATCTATTCTGTTACCTGAATGTTTATCTGGTTATAAACACAAAATATTTACAATATTTATAAGTAACAGAACAAGTTACATAACATAAAGAACAATGAGTTTCTGTTTAAAAAATATGTGTAAATATAGCAATTATTGTACTTTTACTGAGGATTACTATATATATATATATTAAATCTGTCAGTAATAATATGATTTGGAACCCATTTCACTATTAAAAGTAGAAGCTACATACCTTGTATCGATCTTTCCAGCGACTTCTAGAGATTAAGTTCTCAAGACGAGGTTGAATGAAGCGGTCATCCAAATAATGAAGTGAGAGCAGCATATCCTGCGCATACTTCTTTTGTCTTGTTCCATCTGTTCAGTGAGAGTCATTACTAATTTGCTGACCACCCTATGCTATACAAGTTTCTTCAAGTAAAATATTCAAGGACATCATGCTTCTGCATACTAAGAACTATGAATGATGTTAATAAATTATTACTGAATGAAGAAATTTGCTACTGTTATTCATAAAAGTGATCCACACGTATTTGATAAACTTAATTTTTAAAAGTCTGTATCACAAGAGGTACATGAATAAACTCTACAGTCAAGGTTAAAGTAAAAAGCTATAATCCAAATGGAGACCCATTCACTCAAATCTTAAAAGAATGGAAAAGGGGGGAAGTACCTTGCTTTTTGTCCAGTTTATGTAAGCTGCTCATAATGTATAAGGGTGGAGGTTGCAATCCATGAAAACAAACTGCTCTGAGCTACTTCACAGCAGATATTTTAACAACTCCCTTAATTACTTATAAAGAACAAACAAAAACAGGCTTTTACACTTCAGCAGCTAAGTCAGATGCCTCGAGTTAGGCAGCGTAAGTACTTCCAAACATGTACTCAAGCAAAAGAAATAAACACGTATGAGAATGAGTGAAACCACCACTATTCCACAACTGTCTCCCAAATATGTGCTGGACTCCAGGAATTAAACAGGACTTTCACAGGTGTAGGCCAATTCATACTGTCTCGAGCTTCAGCATGTACAGGCACACAAATTAATTCAGCTCCTATTTTTTTTAGCAGTGCTGTTATCAAAGAAACAGAACCTAGAAGGACCAGTGGCTATCTAGATTTCTGCATAAAACTAGTTAATTGTCATTATCATTATAGCCACCATAACGACAATTGTTTTTCCATATAGATCTTACACACACATTTTCAGTAAGTCAGCTATACTAAAAGCTTGAAGAGGCTATGCTAGACTATAAAAAGTCCCTCACAATAAAAAGCAAGTCTGAACTCTAATACTCTAATACTCTTGGCTCAAACTAAGTAACAGGTACACTTCCATTAACCCATAAAAATCCATTCTGTGTTACAAAAATATATCTTTGTAATGCTAGGCTATGTTCATACTATACAATGTTCTTCTGAAAGACAGAATATGACCTCCAACTCACTCACATAGCTGATCAGCTTCCAGCACCTTGGCAATAAGTCGTTAGTTTTGTAGGAAAGATACAATTTTAAATATAAGGAACCTATTACAACATAAATCTGGCAAAGTTTACTTATTACTTGTCATAAGCTTGTTTTCACTTGGTAAACCAAAACAAACCAAATCTAACACCTGAAAGAACTAGCAGTGGTAGATGAAAGACATTTTTAGCTCCAAGAATACACAGCCTTTATTCTGAGGTCTGTGGTGTACTTCAGTTTCTCCAGTCGCTCTTCGCTCCTGACACCACCAAAACTTCCTCTATTTGGCACTCTGCTGACTCCTTCCACAACCTGACCCTGAGAGCCCTCTCATTAATCCCATCTTTACAGTGCTTTTGAAACTAAATGTGAGGTTGCCATTCCACCCCACTAGGCCAAACGCCAAAAAGCACTTCCTCAGCAAGAACGAGATAAGAAGTTCTGACTGCACATGCACTTTATTTTATCTGAAAGCACAAATGTTAAAAAAAAAATAAATAAAAAAATCAGACATGGAGTAATCTCCATAACTAATATTATTATCTATCAAATTCCTCAGAAAAAGCAATGAAGCAAAGGACACTTTGACAAATCAGCTGACCTTGCTATGTTTTCACTGAGATACCTGCTTTGAAATTAATTTCACTTTCATGCTGGTACTGTTACTACCAATCAGTAACACAGAAACACTCTCCTACGTCTCAGAACGCCTTCCAGGCTTAAAAGAATTAAGTCTACATATTTTTCCAAGATTACTCTATCTTTTGCAGACAGAGTTTTTTTCCCCAAAAGTTACAAAGCAGCAAAACCAAGTACAGATCTCAGGACTCACAGTCCTACTTTAATGAGGAGACACATTTTTTGCTAGAATAAAGGTCTTTGTATAACTCTGAACGCACTATTATAGTATTTAATGCATTTACTTAATTTAGTTTGATTTCACTTACTTACCATATAATGAGCTCAGAAAAGTGTCATCAATTGCATTTATGAGGAATGCCTTTACGATTCTTTTGAAGTGTACATAATGATCACAGCGAGACACTGGGAAGAAAGCAGTATAACAAAAATTTACCAGAAAAAAATTAAGCAACGTTAAAAGTCCTGTAAGAATTCTTTTTTTTCCACATTATTGTAAATTTAGAATTTTAAAGTCATTTAAGTATTTAAAATAATTTCAATGTACAACATCCACACTCTTAAGACCTTGCCTTTAAATAGTGCTTCTCAACCCACTGATCTTAACAAATTTTTGCATCCTAAAGTCACACAGCCTTTCAGCAAGAAGAGCCCAAAGTAAGAGTTACAAACACTAAAAGAAGTTTGTTCTATGAATAGCAGGGAATAATGCAAACCAGAGAAGGCCAGGATTACATGTTTTTTCTGTTTGTTTGTATTTTCTTTTTACCAACTTGCTTTCAATGACACACGGTTCTGCTTAGGTCTTTACTAGAGAAGAAATACTGCAAATGCTTGTGACCATCTACACGAGCACTGACCATCCAGTCAGTACATACCTGCTTCTGAACAAAAAAGACAACTAGCGTAAAGTTCTGTTTCAAATCTCTCTGCCCCATGCAGATACCAGTTTTCATAAAAGATCAACTTGAGAAGTTTTCTTGCTCCGTGCAGTTTGGCTGAAACTGACCAATGAATTCAGAAACCCTTCCAGATCTCTGCTTCCAAGGCTCACCACCGTGGAATAAAAAAACATTAAAAAAATAAAATCTCAAGCCTCAAAAACCCAAACTCATGGCAAGAATTTTACATTATACTCCAGAACAAAATTTGGCTAAAATTAACACAGCTGCTCTTAGCATATATCACAAGAGGATGATGCTTTTAGGTCTCCACAGGGATTGACTGCATCACAGGTTACCTACTTCATCCTAAATCAGATCAACTTAAAAAAAAAATCTGTACAGCAGGGTTTACCTTCCTTCCCCACAAACTATACCCTCCCTTTAATAAGATAAAGACCGTAAAAGTTTACTATGGAAATTGGAGTACTTCCACAATAAATTGAAGCCTTTTAGGAATCTGCTTTAAGCTATCATATCCTATTACACAGTATTTGTATTTACAGTCTATTAATATTTATTACAGCACTACAAGCAAGTTACATATAGAGAATTGTCACTAATTTTGATCTTACAGTGTGGGACGTAGTGTGCCAGCAACTTGCTATTCGATGTATTTAGTTCCTTCTGTTGTGGCTGGTTTTCACTCTTGATGTGCTCTGTGTTGTCATCATCATCTTCCCCTTCCTCTACTATAAAATCTTTCATGCTGTCACTGTCCGTTTCACTACTTTCTGTCAGTGTGGGGGGCAAGTGACAGACTGGTTCCTCTTCTGTTTCTGCTTCACCATCAGAATCCTAATGAAATTTTAAAAGTATTTAAAACAGAAGAATTTTCAGAAGACTAAATACTACATAGATGGGATAAGATTTTTGACTTCTAATAGCACTATTTGATCAAGTAACAAGAAAAACAGGTTTCCAAAGAATACATCATTATGTACTAAATGATAATTACTGCCAGCTTTAGATAAGCCATCTCCATGTACCTCTCTTCAGTCTATTTGTAGGAATTAAGCTAACATGGGATATCTAAGTTACTTCAGCAGGTATTTTGCCTCTAGATAAAAATCATTTGACAGTCTTCTTGCATCTCTTCTTTATAGAAAAGAAAAAGGAATGATAAAGAAGTTTTTTTCTTCTAATTACATAAACAAGTTAGATACCTGCGTTCTAAGCTGCTTAATCATCAGAATGTCTGAAAGAGCAAATGAAAGGAAATTCTTAAATTCTCAGTAATCAAAATAAAACTCAGGATAAAGGTTTTCAGCAGTCAATATTTTTATCTAGTTAATGTGACAACAGTTAAAATGTGACAGGACTACTGATTTGTCATGAATAAAAACCAAACCGAAATAAATATAATCCCACTGATTTATATCTATTAGTCTTTACATTCCCCTATATTCATTAGTTTCTACAACTGAATTTCAAAGATAAAATCCAGACCTCACAATTTCCACTGCTGCAGAATCTCCGAGTTGCTCTTTGTCTTGCAAGTTCCTTCAGTTTTGCAAACATTTTCTGTTTCCTATTAGTAGAAACATTTTCTGTAGGGCAGGTTTTATCCGGTTGCTGTTCTTCAGAACTCTCATCTTCATCCATTATACAGTGGCGTTTAGCAAAAACCTTTCTAACAAGTATATCGCTGTCCTCACTTTCATCACTATCGTACAAGACAGAAGAGTTCAACCTTTTACGCTTCCCAGGCACAACACACTCATCCTCACCATCTTCTGTTACTTCCCCATTGTGGTTTTTCTCTTCCTGATCTGAAAGGCGGTTCTTCACAACAGTTTCATCTTTTTCATCTACTTCATCTTCTGATATGGTAGGCTCTTCCTCCTCAGATGTATATGAGGATTCATCATTGCTGTCAATTAATATGAGCTCCCTTTTAGTACGTCTCCAATCAACTCGCGATTTGGATGACACTTCTGTTCCTGCTGTCTTATTTCGTGTTTCATATCTTCTGTCAGCTGCTTTTATCTCCATTGGAAGGCTGTGACAATGCACCAAAATATAAAGTGGTAAAACAAAGCACTTATTACCTTATGCCATTCAAAAAAAAGGACAAGGGCATTCATGTTTTATCACATACACTTACGACTTGGGCAGTGGGAGCAAGCTGGAGCATAGGAGGTTCCATGTGAACATAAGGAAAAACTTCTTTACTGTGAGGGTGACAGAACACTGTCCCAGGCTGCCCAGTGAGGTTGTGGAGTCTCCTTCTCTGGAGACATTCAAAACCCGCCTGGACGCATTCCTGTGTGACCTAGTCTAGGTGATCCTGCTCTGGTAGGGGGGTTGGACTGGATGATCTTTTGAGGTCCCTTCCAACTCCTAACAATCTGTGATGCTGTGACTTAACAACTGTTAAGAGACACCTGCAGAAAACTGCACCAAACAAAAGTAAGCATGCACAGTAACTCCTGAAAAGGATCTACTTTACTCAAAAGCTGTAAAGCAGCAGAACTGCCCACACCCAGCACGAATGAACTGGAAAAATCAGCTCTGAAGTGCGGCTACAGACCCCGTCATTCTCTCCAGCACTGGGAGCCCACAGCCGAGACCGAGCTCTTCCCTGCTTCTGAGGAGCGGCGGACATGGTTCGTTCAGGACCACCACCGGCAGGCCCCAC